GCCATTACCATTGCAGCTGCTGGAGTGTTTGAAGGAGAAGAAGGATCCTATTAATGAGGATGTGTACATTATGAATGAATAGACAAACTTATAAAGTACCTCATCAACGACTAGCTCTCCTTCATCGTCACTTTTATCATCTTCACTATCAGGATGAGGGGCTGGATGCTTATTAGAGCCATTCCTACTACCTGAAGAACCTTCTGGACCTTTAGGACTATCAGCCTATACACACAATAACAAACATACTCATAATGCTCCTCTCTTTACTCCTTCCACTCTCCTTCAAAAATGGCTTGGAGAGCATCCTCCATTTTGAATACATGCATATACGTGTACATGTTCTTATGTTCTGATCTCAATATGACGTGTCATAACCGGAAGTGCTGTATAAACAAATGGGATAACACGTTAATGAGTCATGTTTTAAAACTTTCTAAGCAACGTAAGTACATTTATATGCATCAGAAAAAATTATAAAAAAGGAGAATCCTCACCTAGCCATTTTTGGGAAAACTTGGCCAGAGACCCTGTACTATAGCCCATGGTCGTTGGCACAATTTTCGAACAACTTGAAATATTAGTAAAAAATCTAATTGTGATCAAAATAAGCCTAAACTTTTTATGCAACATAAGTACATGTATATGTATCAGAACAAATTCTAAAAGGGGGAATCATCTTCTTTTAAATTTTGGAGAAATTAATTTTGGCTCAAACCCTGTACTATTTCTAGCCCATAGTTTTTGGCCTAATTTAAAATTCATAAAAAATTCAATTTTAATCGGAAGAAGTTCAAAAATTCTAAGCAACATAAGTACATGTATATGCATCATAAAAATAATAAAAATGGAGAATTCTCACCTAGCAATTTTTGGTGAAAATTGGCTTGAGACTATGTACAAAAGCCTATCATTGAAACATACAGTAAATACAATATTAAACATACCTGCTTCCTTTCTTTCCTTTTTTCTTCCTGGTGGCTGGACTCTGGAGATGTACTCTGCTTTAACTAATTAGTTGCAGCCATTTCCTAAATTAAATCAAAATGAGCCCCACCCATTTCAGTAACCCTACGCCCACGTATCAAATTGAACAAAATTAATTATAATAAAAAGTAAAATAAAATCAAGAGTATTAATGTACTCTTGATGACAACAACAACAACAGCAACAACAACAACAACAATAATAATAATAGTA